AAAAAAAAAAAAAAAAAAAAGAAGGAAGAAATGAACAGAGAAGCATGAAGGAAACCACTGACAATGGGAACCATTGTTGTGCTATTTGGATTATATGCACCAGCTCCTTTAGTCATATAAACAAATATTATGATATAAGTGTTTTTATCTTCATTCTTTACCAAGGATGATGATAATCAGAAACGTGCCCAGGCCATCTAGTTAAGAGGCAGAGATGGTGTTTGACCTAAGTTTGCCTCCAAAGTCTGTGTGCCTGACAGTGGTATGGAATGTGCGTGTTAGAATATCATGTAGCATGGGGATAGCTAATGGAACCATGGCTTTGGCAGAGATGATTTTTCACAGGGGTGCATATAATCTTCACTATTCAAAGAACCCCTGGTGTACCTAATGCCTTTGGGGGTCTCAAGTGGTTTGAGACCTAACCCAGAAAAGTATGACAAATTCTATAAGATGGAAATCTTCTAAAAAATTAAATAATTTTAAAAGCTAGGGCAAAGAGGATTTTAAAACCAGAAAATCAGATTTCGCTTTGGGTGATCCCAAGAAGACTAGTTATGGTCTGAAAATGAGAAGATGGATCCTTATTTCAGAGCAAAGTGCCTCATAACATTAGGTAGACAAAGGAATTGAGAATGGAACAAGAATAATAGCTAGCATTTACTGAGCTATTATTTTGTTTGGGGAATTTTACTACCCATAAAAGCAATAATGCATTTAATGGAAAGGAAATGACATAGGATATAAGGATAGACCCTTAACCCGGTCAAAGAATAGTTTACAGGTTGATGATGGGACAGGAGATGGTTATGGGCCTGAAAATCCTAATGATACTATTTAAGTATCTTGAGTATTGAAAATTTGACTATATGTAGAGTACCTATTAGTCTCCAAGTCTCATGTAGTGTGTAATACTGAACAAGTTAGAACAATTTTCAAACATACAAGCCTTGTGTCCTATGACAATGGATGGTTTGATGTAGTATATGTCATGTAGTGATGTAAGTGAAAGGAGAGAGGAGGCAGGCAGTGAATCTCAAGAGCTTTAATGTTGCTTTTTAAATAATAAGCAGTCTATTCATAAAGTGCCAAAATTTCAAAAAGTAGTAACAGATATACTGTAAATAGCCAACTTTCCATTCCTGTTAATCAGCTATCCGTTTCATTTTCTGGCGATAACTATTCTTGTTTCTTTTTCTAGAGATATTCTATATATGAGCAAAAATGCGTGTATGTATGTGTATCATAATACATATATAATATTTTTTCACAAATGTTAGTGTGTCATATATACTATTCTGAGCATTACTTTTCCAGTTAATATTTCTTAAAGATATTTCCACATCAATGCACAAAAAGGCCCATATTCTTTTTGGCAGCAGAATAGTATTCCATTATTTCTATGTCCCCTTTTCCTGGAAATGTAAACTGTTTCCACATCTGCTAATACAGACAATATGTTAATGAATCAATTTGTATGTAAATCACTTTACACATGTGCTAGCATAACTAGTGATAATTACTTACAAGTAAATCTTGGTCAATGATTATATGTATGCTTTTATGATTTTGACATATATTTCCAAATTGTCCTCCATAGAGGATGTACCAATTAGAGTGTACATTGAGAATATAGGAATTCCTGTCTCCTTGCCCTTAGGAGGCAAGCCATTAGAGGTGAAACCATGCCTTGTCCTTATGAGATCAGTGCATAGACATCTAAAGAATGAGTCATGGTGAGAGATGTAGGAAAATTCTCTGTAGCTCCCTGTGATGTTGGTCACTCAGTTTCTTGAAAACTTTTTTTAATATATGTGTGTGTGTGTGTGTGTGTGTGTGTGTGTAGTGTTTGTATATTCATACTTATATGTATAATTATATATAAACTTTAATGTACCAAATAAAATAACGATGTCAATTAACAGCAGGCACAACTAATATATACATATGTATGTATATTACCAATATATATTTTAATATATACTTATATATTACATGTTATACATATATTTGTTGTATATGATATATAACTATATATTGTATATTATGCATAATTATGTATATTATATCCTTAGGGTATATTCTGAAATGTAGAATTTGGTAGAAAAGTCATGCATTTTTATCTGCGATTTTAAAAAGGAAAGATATTTGATAATTTATGGAAATTTAGATAATCTATTACATTATAATCTGAGGAAAATTCTGCAAATATACTCTACCAAACCAAAATATAAATTAACATGTGGTCCTGAAGAGAATAGAAGAGAAACAGAAGAGAGAGGAACCAATAGTGAACAATGAGTAAATATAGAGTGGTAAATACATTGATGAAGAATATCCAATACGTATAGTGTAAGGGCTGAGAAAGAACTCTCAAAAAGGCTCATTGTAAGGAAATTATAAACACTTCTACATTATTTCACTGACTGAAATTTAGCAATTTGAGGATAGAAATGGGGGAATAAAAGTATTCTTGTAGTTCTGTCTTCATTTAATGTTTGAGGGATAGTTTAGGAGATCAGGCAGCACTCTAGTAGAAAAAAATAATCATTATGAGCAAATGGTTGGGTCCTGTAAGTCAAATTTTGAGAGTAGAGAAAGAGAAGATATCCACTTATGGAATGGTAAAATTGAGTAGAGTGTTCAAGTTAATGAAAACAAATAAGAATGACAACCAGCAAAAATAAGGAAGTGGGAAAAAAAGAGAATGCACTAATGTAAAGTAAATAAGTTATAAAAATAAAGTATATGGAAAGAAGAAAATTAAATAGATTAATAACTATATTTTAAAGTGAATGGACTAAATACTTTTATATAAGACAGAGACTGTAAAAGGAGATTAAAAATTTAAACCAGATATATGTTACGTATAAGTAGTATACTTAAACAAAGCGAGAAAGAGAAAGAAAAGTTGAAAATAATGGGATGCACTAAGAGTAGGCAAAAGCTCCCAAACTAAGAGGAAGCAGGAGTGTAATAGAAATATCCTAAAAGTGGAAAATAAAGCACAAAACAGGAGAAAGGCCAATTAAGAACATTCATAGTTTATAAAGATTATCAGCCATTAACAACACAGAAGTAAGCATATAAAAAAAATCCTACTTATATAGGCAGAACATGCTTACCAATGTTTATATATAATTTGTTAATTATAGATGACAGAAGTTAATTATTTCAAAGGTTTGAATAATACATTAAATAAACTTGATTATATGTATACATGTATGCATGTATTGCGTATCTATATAAAATCATATGTCTCTCTCAAAGAGAATTCATATCTTTTGTTAACATTTACAACATGGATCAAGTAATTGGCTGCCAAAGTCTCCATAACTAGAGAATTATAGGTCATTTCTCATGTCATAAAATTGGAAATAACAAAAATTGAACACAAATATCTAATGACTAGAGTTCAAGAAACACACACTTGGGTAACTCCTGGTTTAAAGAGGAAAAGGAAAAATAATTATCTAGAAGTTAATGAAAAGAACATTTCATATCAAAATCTAAGTTTTTAGGAAACAACGTATTTTAAGAGCATGAATTACAGTTAGCAATAGGGAAGAAGGGAAATATTAAGGAATTTAGTTCTTATTTCATGAAATTAGAAAATCCAAATAAGCTTGAAAAAAATTTACAAACAAACTTCTTAAGTTCATAAGACGGGGAAAAAAAGATTGGAAAGGATAAATCTATCCAAAAGCCTCCTTTACTTTTATGAGATCTGTAATATAGGGAAGTGGCTTGTGAGACTAATACAGAAAAAATATAACTTAAGATAGTAAGGAAAAAGGAGATAGAACGTCTCACAAGGGAGAGCACAGATTATAAGGATTAAATGCAACCCTATGACAACACATTTGTAGCAAAATATAAAGTATTAAAATGAACTTCTCTCAAATCTCCATGTTGAAATCTTACTTCTTTCTGAACAATCATCTATTTTGGTTTGATATTTCTTTTGAAACGTTAGTATTAGAAAATATTAGTAAATTAGATTACAAGGTAATCTAGTCTATGAGCCAAATTCTCTGCAAATTGAATAATTAAGAATTTATACTCTGCAGCTATATGGCTTGGGGTTAATCTTAGTTATACCATTATTTAGCTATATGACCCTGACCTTAGGCAAATTACTTAACATTTATGTGCTTTATTTTCTTCCTCTGTTAATAAAGATGATGATGCTAACAACAGTAATTGCCTAATAGGGATGCCATTCAGACTAAATGAGGTAATGCATAAAGTAAGCAATTAGTAGTGGATTGGCACAGAGTGACAAATAGTAGTCATTATTTTGTCTTTCATTTTATTCCTTTATTCAACATATATTTTTGAACATCTCTTTCTGTGTCCACTTCACTATAGGTACTGGACTGTGGAAGTAAACAACAAAAGTACCTACCTTTGTAAAGTTTACATGCTGCTGGTCAAGACAGATAGTAAACATAACATTATAATTTCAAGGAGTGACAAGATCATTGATTTATTGTGTGGTGGTGTGTAGCCAGTAAAAATGGTTTATTGTTCAGTTACCCATAAAATACAATGCTAAGTTTTTATTATAACCTCTAGTTTACATATGTGATGATAAATATGATAAAAAGGCCAGGCTTCAGGAAGGAAGACTTAGGTTTGAATCTGACTTAGCTCTGATATATATTTACTTTAGTCAAGTTTACTTAATATTTATACTTTAGTTTATCTGTAAAATGTGGATTACAATACCTCTATTTTAGCACTATGATGAGATTAACTAAATTACATGACACATTGCATTTAGCATAAAACATGTTAGTTTCCTCTTCCTTGCTTTGGTTCATTTTTGTATACTTCTTTTTTTTCTTTAGTCTTCTCCTTTAGAAATATTTTTCCCTTCTGGAAGAATATGGTACTTGTAAACTAGTACACATTTGAAAGTAATCGTAAGATACACAATTTGTTTTAACAAATTTTAATGTTTTACAGGTAAAAGAGAAACAGTAGAATGGAATGGGAAAATCAAACCATTCTGGTGGAATTCTTTTTAAAGGGACTTTCTGGCTACCCAAGGCTTGAGCTACTCTTTTTTGCACTGATCTTAATAATGTATGTTGTCATCCTTCTGGGCAATGGCACCCTTATTTTAATCAGCATCTGGGACCCCCACCTTCACACCCCTATGTACTTCTTCCTGGGGAACCTCTCCTTCTTGGACATCTGCTACACCACCACCTCCATTCCCTCCACACTGGTGAGCTTCCTCTCAGAAAGAAAGGCCATATCCTTCTCTGGCTGTGCAATACAGATGTTCCTCGGCTTGGCCATGGGGACAACAGAGTGTGTGCTCCTGGGCATGATGGCCTTTGACCGGTATGTGGCTATCTGCAACCCTCTAAGATATCCTGTCATCATGAGCAAGGATTCCTATGTGCCCATGGCAGCTGGGTCCTGGATCATAGGAGTCATCAACTCTGCAGTACAAACCGCATTTGTAGTACAGTTGCCTTTCTGTGGGAATAACGTCATCAATCATTTCTCCTGTGAAATTCTGGCTATCATGAAACTGGCCTGTGCTGACATCTCAGGCAATGAGTTCATCATGCTCGTGGCCACAACACTGTTTATATTGACACCACTGTTATTAATCATTATCTCTTACACATTAATCATTGTCAGCATCCTCAAAATTCGCTCTTCTGAGGGGAGAAGCAAAGTTTTCTCCACATGCTCAGCCCATCTGACTGTGGTGATAATATTCTATGGAACCATTCTCTTCATGTACATGAAGCCCAAGTCTAAAGACACACTTAATTCAGAGGACTTGGATGCTACTGACAAACTTATATCCTTGTTTTATGGGGTTATTACTCCTATGATTAATCCTTTAATCTACAGTCTTAGGAACAAGGATGTGAAGGAGGCAGTAAAACACCTATTGAGAAGAAATGTTTTTAATAAGTAAATGGGAAAGGGACAGGTTATTTTTATAATCACAATATGAAAATCAGGGAAACCAAAGAACCTAATAGATCGGTTCTTGTTGCTGTGTCAAATTCATCTCTCAAATCTCTCAAGCTTTAAAAATTTTTTTGGTGCAGTGCGTAATGAAAATAAGTGAATGCCTATGTTTTAGGAGTCAGCGATTATGGTTTTTTCTTATTGTTGAAGAGCTTGAACGTGAGGGCAAGTAGAGGGGTAATGTAATAGTGAGAGAGATTTCCAGACAGGACAATGTTACCCTTTAAATGCTTTTTGATAAGATTATTTTCAAAACCAATTTAATATTTTCTTACTTTATAAGACAGAATAAAAACCTGTTTCAGATTTTTAAAACTGTTAAAATCATGAACTTACGATATTGTATTTACTAAAAAATATAATTTACTTGGAGCCTGTTCATATATGTAATGTTGATTGTCCTCTGTCTAGGTAGCTGTACAATATTAAACTTTTTGGTTCTAGTATAATAATTTTTTATAACTTTTTGTTCATATCCACCTATGAGGTATTAAGTTATTATTCTTTTCTACTTTCAACATATCTACTTTGACAGTCTTTTTTTCTGAAGGACTTCTGATACATGGGATCTAACTGCTTTGGATGTGGAATTAAATGACTGATTTTTAAAGCCTTTTGAAAATTAAAAGAAAATAACTACTTAGTGAAATATCCATGGATAAAAGTAGAGATATATCTTTTCCTTTGTACCACTGACTTTCTATCCATGAAGTATGTTGCTAATCCAGGAGGAATCTGTTATTATGGAATGGTGGATCTACCTTTAGATGGTTTTTACATTTGGTTTTTATCTGGGATTTCCATTTCTTTTCTATGTTATGGTAATGTTCAGCTTTAAAAACATTTACTTTTATCATTTTATTTCTTCATCTGAATTTCATACTTTAAATATTCATATTAGATTTGAATGATTAATATTATATATTTTTTCTTCCTCTATCATATTATTCTCAGAGTTTTTTATTTAAAAATTTAAGTAATTTAGGTTATGTTTCTTTTTAAAAACAATATCCTATATTTTTTAAAAAATTAAATTGAAGTTAATTAACAAACAGTGTAGTCTTGGCTTCAGGAGTAGAACCCAGTGATGCATCACTTATATATGACACCCAGTGCTCATCCTGAAAAGTGCTCTCCTTAATGCCCATCACCCATTTAATCCATCCCTCCACTCACACTCTAACAACCCTCACTTTATTTTCTGTCTTTAAGAGTCTCTTATGGCTTGCCTCCCGCTCTGTTCTTATCTTATTTTTCCTTCTGAGCCCCTATGTTCATTTGTTGAGTTTCTCAAATTCCACATGTGAGTGAAATCATATGATATCTTTCTCTGACTAATTTATAATACCCTGTAGTTCTATCCATGTTGTTGCAAATGGCAGGACTTCATTCTTTTTAATCACCAAGTAGTATTCCATTGTACATGTATACCACATCTTCTTTATCAGTTTGTCAGTTGGGTGGACATTTGGGCTCTTTCCATAATTTGGCTATAGTTGATAGTGCTGCTATGAACATTGGGGTGCATATGCCCCTTCGAATCAGCATTTTTGTATCCTTTGGTTAAATGTGTAGTAGTGTGATTACTAGTTCTATTATTAATTTTTTGAGGAAACTCCATACTGTTTTCCAGAGTGGCTGTATCAGTTTGCATTCCCACCAACAGTGCAAAAGGGCTTCCCTGTCTCCACATCCTTGCCATCATCTGTTGTTCCTATCTCGAGAAACAAGAAATGTCCCCAATACATAACCTAATCTTATAACTAGAAAGAAAGAAGCTAGAAAAAGAACAGGAAATAAAGCCCAAAGCCAGCATAAGGGAAATAATAAACATTAGAGGAACTAAATGGTATAGAATCCAAAGAAACCAAAACAGATAAATGAAACTAAGAGCTGTTTTTTTTGAAATAATAGCTTATGATTCTTTTAGAATTTTAGAAAACTTTAAGATATTAGGTTACTTGGTTTTACTCTTGTTTGATTGCTTCAGCTTTTTAAACACTGCTTAAAATTCTACATTATTTAATTGCTAATTTTTATTTAGGTTTTAAAATTTTATTGTTTTTTTAACCTTTTAATTTTTAAAAAATCTTGTGTTTACTTTTAATTGTAAAAGAGAGATTCATTTTCCCCTTAGAGTTCAGAAAGAGGCAGCAGTGAGCATTTTATAGGATACTACATCACAAAAGAAAGGCCTCCTTTATTCCATTGTCATTCTACTTCTATCTCTGTCTCCTTGAATCTTTTATTTTTCTTAGTAGTAATAGTAGTAAATAATTATTTTCTGGGAATGTCCTTCAAGAAATTTGAGAGAACCACAAGTTCATGATCCTTCCAAGATCCTATATCTATCTAACGAACGAACGAATGAATGAACGAACAAACGACAGCAACAACAAAAAGACCTAAGACCTGAGTGACTTCTTGTAATGGTGTACTTTCTGAAACTATAAGGGGGATAAAATGTTTTAAATTTCTCCAATATGCAAAGCTGTTAGGATATACTGAGTCAACATTTGTCTAAAACAACGAGCTGTCAGCATACTCAAGGAGGTAGTGAAAGATTTGACTGACAAACCACAATAGAGGTTTTGTATAACAGGTTCACAGCCTGATTTACATCAAACATATTTATTCCCAAGATGGAGTTCTTGGGAATTTCTTTCCAGAACGGTCATATATGTATATCATATTATACTGTATA